TTTTCGTTGCCTTTTCAACCATGTTTCTCACTTGTTAAATACTTCTGACAGAGAAGCACTCTTACTGTGTTCAGGAACTGCATTAGTAACTTTGATTTTAATCCCTATACTGTCTGCATGTGCAATTTTTCTTTCACAGATGGGAAATCCTTTGGTCCGAAGCACCTACAAAGGTCAATGGTCCTCAGGCTCGGCAATTCACACCTTGTATCAAACAGATAAACTTTCCCACAAACTTAATCCGACTGGAAGTGAACAGCTCTCTCCTGGACTATTACACTGAATTGGATGCAGTGGTACTACATGGTGTGAAAGAGAGACCTGTGCTTTCACTTAAGACTTCGATGATTGATATGAACGATATCGATGAAGATGAGGATGAAGAAAAGTATGGCTGTGGAATGGACACCCTTAATAAACAGTTCAGCATTGTTACCCTCAGGGAATGGCCGACTAATGGATATTTTGATAAACTGCCTTATGAGGTGAGAAAAGCATGTTTGTACTCCATGTATTTGCCTTTAATTATTTTAATTAAATTAAGGGTGCAAAGGTGCTTTAGAGGGTACTGGTCAAGATTGCTGGTTTTTTCCAGTTAGTTCTGTGCATTCTTCTGTGAATGTCCTGCAGTTATTGTGTAGTTATGCCTGAATTATGTATGTCTGTCTACTTCCATGGAGGGATATTAGTAAGCCACTTTGCTGGTACTTGCATTGTTGCTGCACTTTCATTTCTTGAGAATCTGTCCACTCACATATGGTTTTCACACCAGTTACTTGAAATTCTAGCTCTTGAACTGGGAAGCTTCTGGCAGTTTTCCAGTGCTTTTAGTCTTCATGCTTGATGAAGAAGATACATGAGAGAGATGATGAGATTGAATCAAGATCTGGAAGTGGAAATAGTTTGTAATAGGCTAAAAGTTTCTTTTCCTGTTAATCTCTCTTATAAAAACCCAGAACTTTTTTCTTGAAACTGCCATAATATTTTCATAATGCTATGAAATAAGCTTCTTCAGGTGCAGGTAAAAAGTTTTATAGCTGGACTTCTGTGCACTGGCTTGTTTTGATGTTTGCCACTTTTTATTCTATCATTAGCACAGAAAACAGTTGTGAAGAAACTACTCCTACTACTTCAGATGCCCTGGCAGTGGGGCACTTGTATGTGTGCTCAGAGTCAGTGTAGATAAATATTTTCTTTCCTGTAATTTCCAGTATAATGAGATTGTGAAGTATGATTGCTGAATATTGTATGCAGGCCAGGAAATTCTCAGTGGGGTGTAAGCCGTTCGTGGCGCCTAGTGCCCTGGTTAGAGTAAGAACTGAGACACAAAATAACTGTCTCCACCTCTCCTGAAATAAACTGGATTTGCCCATAGTGGCAAGGAGCCTTTACTTGCTGGTCAGACCTGTGGGCTTGGGCAGAGGCATGGTTGTTCCTGCTCTTCAGTGTGCTGCGGTCTGGCAGAAGAAGTAAGTGCTTGTTTACCGCGGTAACTCATCAAAAGCTCAGAGTGGATCAGGTGCGCCTTTGGAAGCGAAGGGAGGATGGTGAGAGATGCTGTCACTGATTGCAGGGCACTTTCAGAAATATGTGATCTAATCAAATAGCGTTTTGGTTTTGTCACATCTTTTGTCTCTAAGTACCCCAGTTCAGCACGTGAAGGCCATGGCTGGGTGACTGTGTGCCCCAGTAACCTGTAGAAGTTTGCTGTGCTTGTAAAGAGGAAAGAGAGAGGAAGAGAATGTAACAACTCCCTCTGTCTTTCTCCTGTGTATTTGTCTTCTCTTTAAGTCTTCCTCAGTTCTTGAGGTTGGGTTTTTTTTGTTGTCGCTGCAGTGGAATAATAAACGAGTATACTAGTTTCATCCTGAATTAGCTGTAGCGGTGGGATTTTTTTCCTCCAGAGCCCTTATAGTATTTAATATGTTTTACTGTCAGTGTTTGTATAGCAGTGCTGAAGTAAAGAAAGTACTTTGCATGTGCAAAGGTGCAGTTGATTCTGGAATATCTAAAAACATATAACTGTTTGAAAGTTTGAAAACTGTATTGGTTTTAGTCATTCAAAGAGATTAATTATAGAGAAAACTTGATTTAAATCTAGGAAGTCTGGTTTGAAAAGGCTAGATAAATTGGTTTGTAATATAGTAGACTACCAGAGAGATTGATTCATCTCTTCTTTGTTCCACGTGTTTATACATATTAAGATTATAATTTAGGAAGTATTTGTGTAGTCCTGTTACTCTATGAACTTCTGCCTCCATGTACTTTATTGTGCTTTTCTGCTTTCCTGTTTGTGTACTAGCTTCCTTTTTTATCCATTTTTTAACATGTTTGGTTTCATGAATGCATTTATGTGGTCTATCAATACCAAGCACATTTTTTTTTCTTCTGCTTTGATTTAAAGAAACTGAAAATATGGGTGGAATATTTATCAGAAAACTACAAAAGACTATTTCTGGACTGGTTTTGTGACAGCAGCAATCCCAGTCTCCTACTTTCTTGGTCCAGCTGGAAGGTTTGGGTATTAGAACAACAAAAATGTTGTGCTTTGTAGTATGACAGTTTTTATCGCACCAGTTATGGGAACAGTACTCTGTATGCTGTCTTCAAGGCTGACAAATGTCAGATATTTCTGGGAAGTGTTTGAGCCTTGTAATGATGAAGTAAGGCAACCGCTGACTCCTTCCAGTTTTGATTGATACATTACATGAAAAATTATATATTTTTATACATTCATGTTGATTGTGAATGTGTAACTGTCCTAAGTCTTCATACGTGTGCCTATTCCTTATTTGAGCTGTTTCAGGCTTTTTCATAATACCCTTCATCATTCACAAAATACACAAGATGAATGGTCATCTGTCCTAATCTTAATGTGGGAAGCCGTTCCTCCAGCCTTTGCTGTCTTTCTGAAACTTCCATAGACTGTGGTGTTCCTCAAAATGGCATTAGCAATGCCTTGCTGCAGTGGGAGCTCTACAAACATTGTAAGAGTCTAGATTGGTCCTGCCAACAAAAGGGAAAAATGCTCCTGGGGCACAGACTTCGTTAGAAGAAAGTGTGAAATCTTGGATGAACAAGGTGAGAAGATTTTCCTTTCCCGCTCACGGATGATGCTAACCAGCCCTTAGTAGCTGTGAAATAGTTGTACTATCATCTGTTCTCTGGAATTACCTTAAAATTGAGGAAGGATTTTTCTAGGAGACACTTCATGTCCTTCTCTTTCTTCCCAGTTATCCTTGACTATAACTTGAGCTGCTTGTAAAGTGAAGGAGTAAGGCCTCAGTCTTAGTTGGCTTTGCAGAAATGCTTGAGACCTGAAGGCCTTTGAGAAAGGTGAGGAATACCTGCCACAGCATGCCTCTGGTGCAATCTGAGACTCACCAAGATGTGCCAGGTACCGAGAACCTAACTTTTGTTCTCCAGAAAGGGGAATCAGGAGAAATCCTCCATGTTGCAGTCCAAAAGACATTTTTTTTATATATAAATTTTGATATAAAAAGATCTGTGACATCTTTGTCATTCCTTGAAGCCAGTTTTTCCTAAAGCTGCCTACAAGATTTATGAGCTGTTCGTGTCTTCTGGGGAAGCGAATTTCACCGCTAAATGTGGATTTGGCACCTAAGTTCCAGGAAAATGGGTCTTGAATGTAAGATCTGCATCCCTTAAATGGTACTTCGATAGAAGTGTTGGAGCAATAAGCAGGAGCATTTTTAAGTGTCATACACTTTTTTCCCTCAACAGTAAATTTCATACATCTTTCCAGAACAAATATTTGTAGGCTTTCAGATAATCAGCAAGACTTTATGCTTCTCTTTAGAAAGAGAAGCTCGTGAGGGTCTTAAAAGCTGTCTTAACAGCTAGTAACCATATGGCATAAGGTTCCCTTCAGTTAATGGCCAGTACACTGCCAGTTGCTATAGCAGACTACCCTGCGAGCAATGGTACATGGAGAAGATCCCTCCAGCTTTAGTCCTCGTAGAGTCTTGATTATTTGATTGTGCAGCCTGTCCATAAGATCCTTTTCTGTTCTTTGAATCAAGAAGGGGCTTAAAACCTTTACAGCCTTTCGCTGTTGAGAGGATCAGAGCCTATAGCCTGGTGATGCAAAGCCCACTCCAGCAAAGCATGTTATGTGAGTAGAATAAAGAAGAGACTTAAATGGTTGTGTTTTGTTAAAGAGTTGCAAGATCCACTCTTCGTGCATTCGCGTGAGCCATTAAATGTGTATGCATTTGTTGGTGCAAGCTATACCATCATGGAACTAGGGATTGTGTTTTCTTAAACTATGTTGAGAATGTCAAAAGCCCTGGAATACCATTTTCTCCTTCCTGCCTTCTTGCTTTGCTTTTTTGTGCGCATATCCTCTGTCCTTTATCTCAGCATGTTTTAGTATCATTTCTAGTTAATTAAGAGTCTAAGCTGTGGCAGCTCTAGCTGCAGAATGAAAAAATTGCAAGTCATTCATTTGCGTGTTTCTGAAAGAGTGGTTTGCATAGACCAATATATTTTCGGAACAGAGGGACTCATGTTGAAGAACTGAAAGAAGAAATTTGTAGAAAGTGCAGATATTCTAGGTTTGACCAGCATCCAGGCATTGTTTTCTGGCCAAATCAAGTTCTGCATTATTGTGCTTTAGCCACAGAAAGTATTTTATTGGGTACAAGTGGTTATTCCTTGCTGCTATTCAGCAAAAAAAGCTTTAAAAAGCTGGAGAAGCTTTTGGGTAGGTAAGTACTGTTAGGAGCTAATTGGTAAAGTTTTACCCCATGTGTTGAAGAGCGTGATGGAGATCCTGTCTGAGCTTATAAGTGAACTTTGATGCAGTGGGTGAGGTGTCTGGTTTTTTTAAGATGTTAAAATGTTACATTTTTAATTTTTTAACTCAAAATACATGCATCTATGTAAGATGCTGCAATCAGGGACTGTGATGATAAAACACACATGGATCAGGTATGAATCAGGGTCTTTTTTTGTGCTGAACCAGCACAGAATGAATTTGCATGCTGTTGTTTGTGGAATTGTTGTGGAAAGTTATGATTTGGAAACCTCCAGCTTTTGGAGGTTTTCACTGTAGTAGGTGTTGATCTCACCATGTCTCTAAAGCTGGCATGTGCCATGTTTGCCCTGGAAATGGTAGAGAAAGTACTTTTGGTTCATCATAGCCTAAAAAAGCAATCAGTGTTCTATAAGTTATATTTTGCTTTCTTCTTTATATTCCTTTGTATTGTTTTTCCATAATCTTTGTTTTTACTGATTGATTTGTAAGAAAGTGTGGAACAATGATTGCCATAATTTTTCATAAATGCAGAATAAAAGCAGTTGTTTGCAAGAAACTGTGTTAGGAAATCAGTTTTCAGAGCAGGTACTCAGTTCTGCAGCATTCTTGGAATCACCCTGAACATGGCGTAGCACAGTACAGCACATTGTGTCACATACTCATCATGGTATCAAATTGTACTTTATGCTAGGATACACATACATAAAAAGCAGATTTCTGACAGACACCAGGCTCCAGATTAACAGTGATTAATGGTTATTAGCCTGTAGGTTTGGAATCTGTTATCTTTGTTTAATCAAAAGCCAGAAAAAAAGTACTTTATATCTTAATGTCATAGTAGTGACATTTCATTACACTTTTTCATTGTAGGTATTATGAAGTAGCATAATTTCAGTAAAAAATAAAGGAGGATTATTTTTTCTGATTAAGACATTCACATGGTAAGAGATTTCATCTCAGGTGTGGAAAGACTGTGACATCCTGTATGTTATGAAATACTCATTGAAGTCATCAGTTAGTCTAAAGGGACATTGGTGAGGCATTTATGGTTTCATTCACCATTATCTTCACTGCTCAGAAATCACACAATAACTTTTTTTTTCTATTAAACAAAACTGGTGTTATAATGTCTGATAAAAACAAAGTTACGCCACATTAATTGTAGCTGTAAATTTAGCTAACTGTGCAGCCTTTGTTGCTGAGCTCTCTGCTCTAGAAAACTTACCAAATAAGCATGGGAAAAACCGGAGGGAAAAGACATTCATAAAATAGATATTTGGGTGGCTTACAGAGTGCGAAATAGCTGAAAGATTGCAGAATAGTTTGAAGCTGTCTTTCAGAATATTGAAAATCATTTGAAGTGAATTGATGGCCTTAGAAAAATTGGTGCATGTGTAGGTATCTACTATTAGAATGACAAAACGGTGCTAAGCAATTTTTGAGCTGAAGTATGGGTCTGAGCCAAGCAAAAACCAAGATACTAATTTGGGATTATATCCGTGTTAGCTCCTAGTTAGTTTGCTCTCTCAGATACCAAAATGCCAACAAAATAAATGCCAGTTGAGAGCAAACTTTGCTGATTATAATATATTAACTGCAGTTGTTTATTTTTATATATCTATATATCTATAGATATATTTTTTTGAGTCCCCATCCCTGGAGGTATTTAAAAGACGGGTAGATGAGGTGCTTAGGGACATGGTTTAGTGGTAGGATGGCAGTGCCGGGTTAACGGTTGGACTTGATGATCTTAAAGGTCTTTTCCAACCTAAACGATTCTATGAACCTATGATTTTATATACATATAAAATCATAGAATATATATATACACACACACTGCTGTCACATCGAAATGTCTATGCATATCCTCTGCATCAAGCTGAGGTGAGAGTTCCAGGCACCTGCAGAGTCAAAAAGCCTGGGCTGTTTTTAGGGGGAAGGAGGAGCGAGGAGAAGGGAAGAGGGAGGGCTTGAAATCCAGCTTGAGAGAAACTGGAGTATATGCAAACACTGTATTTTGGCATTGGAGTTGAAGTTAAATTTTTTGAAGAGTCGTAGATAGTGTTTGAAATCCAAATACTAAATCTGGAGCTGAGTAGGAAGTAACATTTTTCATTTTGCAGGAAGTTGGATTGTTTTCTTATTTTTTCTCTTCCAAAAATGAAGGGGGGAGGAGGGGAGGCGGAAGCTAGCTGCATAAACTGGTACGTTGGAAGTACAATCTGTTTGGATCTCACCAACAGCTTCATTTTCATCTGATGTCAAGCATTTTATTCTGATTTTTGGCGGTTTTGTCTTATGAATCCTTACAAGACATGAAAATGAAACATTATGGTATTTTGAAAGGGCCACAGGACTCTCTACAATTTAAGCTGGTTTGTGGGTTGTTTGGGGTTTTTTTTAATTTACACTGATTCATTTCAGCAAGTTATTGTTTCCCACTCTGCTTGAAAACACTGAGTCAATTTTAGTTATGTAACTTGAGTGCAGGCACTTAGAGCTGTTAAAGACAGCACTGGTAAAGTAAACATTAATTTTTAGATTTCAGTTTTCAAGTGCATCTTCTCTCCATTTCTAAGATAAAGGAGATTTTGTTGTTGTTGTTGATCATTTCTGTTATTTCCTAAAGTGAGTATTTGTGTGTCTGTGTGTTGATCTTCCTTTGGGAAGGAAAACAGCATGATAGGAGACAGGATATTTCTTAATTTCTGAGTGTGAGATAAGTCATTACAAAATCATGTATAGTGATGCTAGTCAGAAGGGCTGGTGATTATTCCGAAGCTGAGATGATTCAACCTGATAAAGGTAAAAAGGGGGTTTGCCTATCAGGTTTGACTCTGGCATAGAACAAAAATGCTCTCAAAGTATTACAGCAAGGAAGAGATTACTTTGTAAAAGAAGTTGAATTTTTTTACCTGGTTGCATAGTCCAGCATGGATGGGAGGGTATAACGTAGAAGACAAAACACTTATTTTTAAAGCAGGGAGCAGAGGAATAAATCTGGAGTCAGTTCAAGGTGTGGGGAAAGTGGGACGTGGTATGTTTCTTCCATTTACTCAACAAATACGCTACCATCTTAAAAACCACATCCAGAGAAGAAAGAGGATGCCAATTCAGCGTTCTGATCAACGGCAGTGCAGACATTGTGAAGGGAAATATGTAAACATAGTGTTTACATGTATATCACTGTTTAAATTAGCATGGGTAAAGAAACTTCTAATTTGAAAGCTTCCTATCACTTTCATATGCTGATCTGCTTTTCCCTTTCTTGTTTAATATGTTGTCAAATTGAGAAGACAGTGCAGTCCTATTTAATAGCCAATCAATGATTTATATGAGAAGCTACTTTTAAGTAAAAGGATTTACTTTTCTTTGAAGTTAGAACATCTTTTCTTATTCATTTGCAGTTTTCCCTTAACATTTCAGGTGCTATATGACCATCCATGACTTTTTCTCTGTTTTTGATACAGCTCATCCAGTTGATTTTGAGTCACCTTACAGTGCCAGACCTGTGTAGACTAGCGCAAACTTGTAAGCTACTGTATCAACATTGCTGTGATCCTCTACAGTACATTCATCTCAGTTTACAACCTTACTGGGCAAGGATTAATGATGCATCTCTGGAATACCTACAGTCTCGCTGCACTCTCATCCAGTGGCTGAATTTATCTTGGACGGGAAACAGGGGAGCCATCTCTGTTTCAGGATTTAGCAGGTCAGTGCTAAATGTACGGAAGTGTTTTGACAAGCTCTGTTTGCTGAGCTGCTGGACAGTAGTTTCAGTAAGTATTTGAAACCTCATCGAAAGACAAGAAATGCCTTTGATTTACTATAAAGAATGTGATTGTTATAATGTAGAAAAAAACAACAGCTAAAATGGTAAGAGCAGATACAGCAACAAAAGTCCGTTTCAATATGTAGAGCCTGCATGTGCGAAACTGCCTGTGACTGAAAGGCTTCTTCCAGGGAGTGTTTTGCTTTTTCCTGGGCTTCTAAAAGACTCCACCAGAACCAAGCTGTCAAGAGTCCGTCTCACGAAGAAAATGTTTGCAGTTGTTCGTTGTACAGATGAGTCATCAGTAGGACTGTATTAGAATGGCTGCAGTAATAAACTGATTACAGTGCATGCTTACAGGGTATGGGCCCTAAGTAATCACTGGAGTGCAATGTAAATGCAAATATTTTCATAAAAATGATTTAAAACATTAGCCTTGTTGGGAAACAGGGGGTTTGCATGTGCGTCTTCCACTGAGCTGAAAATATGACTGTGCTGTAGGTCATTAAAATAGCAAATTTGCAGGGATTGTATAACAGCCGTGTTCTCTGCTTTCTTAACATATCATTTCTTGCTTCTTTGCTCGTTTGCATTAGTTAAACAGCATCTATCAATGCATTTCATTTAAGCAAAAATTGCTGCTTCAACTAAGAGGTAATAAGCAATGGCAGGTGAAAGCAGAACTTGACTGATAAGAAACAGAAATGTTTAATATATCTAAAAAAATTGTCTTAACTCTCATTTGTTTTCTGAATAAAAAGGTTAAATCAAGTATTCAAACATTTTCTTTCCCTTGGTGCCTGGATGCCTTCCCTGGGGAGGTAAAATAATTTGAAGCAATACTTTGTCAAGATGAGAATGTCATTTCCTTTCTTCCTGACATTCCAGCATAATCCAGAGCCCTATGCTTTTCTGTGCTTGTTGGTAGAGAAAGGAGACAGACATCAGCTAGTTGTTGAATGGGGTACAAACATTTCTCCTAAACTTGGATTTCATATTAGATACGTTATGCAGAGGATAAATATGCAGGCTTCAATTGAGAATTCAACTCTGAAATCATGAAGTTCTTGCTTTTTGATGCTTAGCTATTAAATCTGTCTTTTAAAAACTTAAAGTATGTGCATCTTCATGGCAATTTTTTAAAATTTACATTATTTTTTGGAGCATGCAGTACTGCTAAAAATTTTTGTAGTCTTGAAAGAAATGAATGTCCAAATTCAGAGAATTATAAACTTTGCAGTTTTAGCATTTCTGAATTTCAGTTAGTTACAAATGTTTACTTCAGTGCTGAACTAATAGTAGCACTTCGGTGTAGTAATCTTTTCTAAAATAATAAATATTCATTGTTTTACTAATAATAATCTGTGAATAAATGTGGCCGACTTATTTTCATTATTACAGGTGTTATTTATTTGTAACAAGAGGGAAAAGTGTTTCTTGGACATTGATACAATTGTGAAGTTATCTGTATTCCTAGGAAGAAGTATGTCTTGGAAGAGCTACAAACAGTCTGGGAATGGGAGATGCAGTTCAATCATAAATTTTTAAAACAAAGTTGTAAGCTAAATAATTTTCAGGTGCGACTTCTGCTCAGAATTTTTACTTCTGAATCAAAAATTCTCCACTGTAACTAGGTCTGGTTTTGAAAGTCTTCTTTTTCCTAATACAGAAATAATTTTGCAACTCTCTGTTCTGTAGAAGTGTCATTTCTAGTAGAATTTCGAAACACGAATTTTCCTTTTGACATTCTTCATTAGCAGGTTTGTCAAATTTGCTGGCCTCCAGGAAGGGAAAATTTGCTGCTCATTTGCTATGGAAGTATTTATTAATACAGGAGACTTATTAGAGCAACACTTGCTTTTCAAAAGCATTAAGGTAATTTTCTTCAAAATAGTAGCCTCCTGGTAAGACTCACTGTTCCTCAGAGGAGGAATCTGTCAAGTAATGTTTTGGTTTTATTGTCCTGGCTGTCATTAAGAAACCACCACCTGGTGGATATTGCAGCATCCAGGACACGTAGTCATGAACTCCCACAGTTTTTCCTTTTGGACTTCTAGATATTCCTTACGCAGCCTGACTTTTGGGAGATACTATACAAAACAGAGGTTCCAAAGAATGGAGGTACTTTGACTTCCCTAGGAATTCTATTTCACACTTAAATTTTCTTTCTAGTTTACTCTTCAGGATATGAGTCTTGCAGAGGATGTTCTCAGTTGGCTGGGGAGAGCGCAATCCTGCTTTTATCAGTTACCTGCTGATGTTAACTGTTACTAAAAACTTAATCGGATTTTCAGACCATAATTGTCCTTTGCAGAAATTAAATATGTATGTATTTCTGTCTGTCTCTATATGTAGCAGTAGAAGACACATGCCACTGGATTTATTAGTGTAAAATCTTCTCTTGCTGCCTACTGCATGAATGTTTCTGAATCAGTTTGTTGTTTTTTTCTTTATCCTGCTCTCTCAGAATCATAGAATTGTTTAGGTTGGAAAAGACCTTTAAGATCTTTGGCTCCCTCTCTGGTCTTGGTATTCTTTGTTTCTTTCTGCAATGGAAATTTTTTAATAAGGCAATGAGATGTGCCTCTAGAGTACAAAGCTGCATCTTTTATTTTGGATATAATCGGTGAAGAAGTCTTCTTGTAACTTGCGGCTGAGTTCAGATGAGTTTAAATTGCTTATTCCAATACTTCAAGTTTATAAATTTTGTGATAAGTTGCTACATAAGCGACCATCAACAGCTGTGAAGCCAACTCCTTGGAGGTGTAGAGAATTCTGCCTAGAAGTTGTAACAATTTGAAGGACTGTGTTACGCTGTTTTCAAAAGGCCAACCTGTATTTGTCAATTCAAGGAGAAAAAAAACATTATTTGCTAAACAAAATTTGTAAATAACTTCACAAACACTACAATTTGCTGTCGAACAGAAACAACAAAATACTAAACTCAAAATACCTTATCCTCATAGATAACAGCATTTCACTTTTACAGGGCCTGTTATTTATTTTGTTTTCTTCATTTTTGCACATTTCTCAGGATTTAGTGTTGCAGTTGGCACTGTTGAATTCAAAACTGCTAGTTTTATTTGTACAACTATACAGTTTAGGTCATGATTTCCACAAGTCAGGGTGTGTTTAAATGCTACTCTTGCTCGAATTTTATTGTGGCAAATATCTTTCAAAATTTTTTTATCTGTGGTTTCTTACAACAGTCTTAAGTAGCTTGTGTAAATTTGTGTGTTGCTTTAAAAGGTTCATATAGACATGATTGTAAGAAATAATTGAAATATGTATTCTCTTGCAAAAATGTATTCACATAGAACCTTTTTTAAAAGAGTAATTTTAAGAAATGTGACTGAAACAAATGCTGTATTATCATGAGAAGATAGAATGCTTCGGGCATATGAACATCCCGAGGCAAAGCTAAAGGTATTTTAACTTATTGATAACATCTACTCCTTAGGGCTAGAAACGACTATCATAAAGTTTTCATTTCAGCATATAATATAAATTAACTAAACTTTATCGTTCAGATTGAACTAAAAGTATATGGAAAGGTGAAAGACAAATGAGTATCTGAGCAGTCTCAGGTGTCTGGAATGCAAAGTGACAGGGAATAAACAAGGATTTCACAGCAAGCATTGCATAAGCAGAACTGCAGTTCTCTTGGCGTTAGAGGTACAGTGAATTTCTTCATGCCAGGGGAATATCAGCGTGGGAGGATAAGACCTATATAGGAAAAGTGAGGCAAGTTGACTGGAGGTGTACTGAATATCGAGATGCTGAATAAATGCTCTGAGGTTTAAACAGCTCAAGGACGATGACAGTTTAAAAGCAGAGTTCTGCATGCGGGTTTCTTTGTGGCTGATAATGTCGTTAGATTGTTTAAACTCTTTTGCTTTAAATATCTGAGGTATTAGGATTTTTATTTACTTCTAACATTTTATACTGTGAAAATGAATTAATAGTGTTTTATTTTCAGGTTAGCGATACAGTGTTTGCATGTCAAGCGCATCCAGGAATATTTCTTTAACGTTTTTGTTGCTGGTAATGTTTGAAAGCTTTAGTTTCTGTTTAATAGAGGTGTATTTTGACAGTTTTTAACTCGGTGAGGCTTTGCCGCGGATTAAACTAGCAGGAAGGTCAGAGAAATTACTGAAACATGCATCAAATAGTCACAGAAAATAGGAGTAATGTGTGACTTGACAGGGATTCTCAATTTAAAAATCACTTCTGTGTCCTTTTTTTTTTTTTTAATTTCCACAGTTTTTAGTAAAACCTAGGGTTGCTGTAACTGAGATTAAGTAATAATGTTTGTTTTGCATGTTTTTATTGAAATAGTTTAATCTGTAGTGGGGAAAGCACAAGATCAGGTACTTAATATTCTCCTTACTTGCATGCAATATTTTAAGATTTATTTTAAAAAAAAAAAAAGTTTAATACATGCTAGAGTAGAAAATAGCGTTGTAACAATTAGAATATCTTAGAGGAAGAGAAGGTGACTTCATTTTAAAAACAAAATTAAGTTACTCAGTCTCACTCTCATGCGTGCATACTCGGGTGGACCAAGACAACTGGTATGTGTCCAAACCAATTTGTCCAGTGTGTAGTCTCGGCATTTTGTGCCCCCTCCGTCCTTTGTCTCCTAATCTGTGTGTCCTGAGAAACTCCACGTGCATACGTTCAAGGATCTTGATGTCCAGCTAATCTAACTTCCACTAACACACACTGCTCTACCAGTCCTTGTGTTGCCATTTGCTCTTTCTCATGCTTCTACACATGTGTGTACCCATTCATTCTCCAGCCATACCAGTCTTAACACTTTTGTTACAACTCCCTGTACTACATGCTGCTGCTGTTGTGCAACACAGCAGTCCTGAAAGGAAAAACGTCATTGTGAGTATAAAAGTATCTGGAAATGACTTTAAGAAATATGTTAAAAT